TATCGCCCAATTTTGAGATGCATAGGAAACAACTGAAGATATCATTGCTTGGTTCAGGCTTTTCCATGGATCTCATTTTGCAGGGTTAGTGTAGCCAGTCAAGGCAGGAGTCATTGTTAACAGAAGACAGTGTCTTAGAAGTAAAGGCTGGGGAAAGAGCACACATTCTTGGGGCTAATTATGCAAATTCTTAGACATCAAGCTATGGATAGTTAGATGCAGATTTCCCTTAAAAGTTGGCTTAATTGCTTACCAAGAGAGCTGGACAACGACTAAGGATGAGAGAAGAGAGCTGGAGAAGGGTCGTCATAGACCACCAAGAAAACAAACAGGTTTGTCTTAAAGAGGATAAAGCCAAGTTTCTCCTAGAAGGCTAGGATTTTGAAGCTCTTTCTCACATACTGTGGGCACGAGGTCAGGAGAGAGTGGTCATCATGCTCAGAAGGGTGGAAGAACTAGCATTTAAGCGTGGACAAAGCGTAACTGCATCATACTCGTTAACTGTGCAGCGGGCACTTCCCATAACAAAGATGTCTCCCCAGCGCCTTCTTACGACGTCCGCGCCTCTGCGCGAGCCTCACGTCCGCCCTTCCCTGCGTCACATGACCAAAACCCCGGCCTCGGCTACGGGTGCTGAGAGGGGCCAAACGCGGCCGTTCTCGAGTCGCTCCGGGCCCGCTGCGGGCCGCTCCGGCCGGTGCTGTGCCCCGGCGCCTCCGTGCGCTCGGCCAACGGCCTGCGAGAGCGCCCACCCGAGCGCCCGGGAGACGGCGGGCAGCGGCCTTCGCCGGACAGCTGCCCGGGGCCCAGGGTGAGTGCTTTCGCCTTCGCTCGGCGAGGCCCGGGGGCCGCCAGGCCTAGCGCCGCGGCCGGGACTGACCGGCCCGCGGAGGGAGGCGGCCGGCGTGACCCCTCCTGCCGAGGTCCGGCTCCGCTCGGCCTTCCGTCCTGACCCTTCCCCTTCGGCCTCCCGTGGGCGCTGCGGAGGGCGAGAGGGGAGCGCTCCCCGCGGATGAGGCCTCTCTCCGCGTCCATTCGGTGCGGGGTCCCGGGAGAAGTGGGGGCTTGTCGGCCTGGAATAGGGTCCGGGGCGTGGGAGCCCCGAGAGCCCCGCGGGCTTGAACCCCCGGCCTCGCATCGCGGCTGCCCCTTTCCTCCCAGCCGACTGTGACCTTGAGCGGGGCGCCCGCAGACCTTCGGGTTTGGCTCGGTGGGAAATGCGTGTGCGCACAGGGCGGTGGTGGGGGGAGCGGGGTGGTGGTCCTCGGCCACCTGGGAGGTCCCCAGCCACCCCCCCGAGCAGCCTCGCCGGCCGCTGCAGGAACCCGGGCACCGTCGGGGAGCCCAGCTGGCCTGCAGCCCTGGCCGGCTCGCCCTGCATCGGCACGCGAAAGAAAGGCCTGGCTGCCTCCCACCTCCTTAGAGCAAGGGGCGTTTGGAGAGCTTGTCACCTTTCAGAAGGGTTATCGGTGGGAGCTCCACCGGCCTCCAAATATAGACCCAGCTGCCTCCAGGCCAAACACCACGGGAGAGGCTAATTGAATAATAGGGAACGTTTCCTCTCCCAAGATGAAAAAGGTTTGCTTCTTGTAGCAACTCTCAGGCCTAATGAGATCCCAAAGGAAAAACCCTTAGGGACCCTGGATTTGGAAGGAATTCTATTTGATTTCCTAGCCCTGGGTAGTCTTTTCCCAGGTGATCAGGAGGTTTGGGGGGAGCTGTGGCCTTTTGGGTATGCCATGGCCGGAGAGCTGGGTTTGCTGTTCTGTCCAGAAGGAAATTGAGTTCTGTAGCTTCCGGACTGGTGAGGCTGTCTCTTGTTAAGATAACAGGATAACAGTTTATTGCTTGCTCTCCTGCATACTGGTGTTGTAGCTGCTTCTCTGCAGGCTCGTAACATTTGAAAAATGTTCTTAATTTCCCTGTTTGTTCAAAGTTTGCAGGGACTTTTTTTAAAGACTAAGATGAGCCCAAAGTCACTGCACGATTCAAGTACAGTTTCTGGGAAAGAGAAATAAGCAGGTTGATCTATAGAAAGACCTTGAACTAGGTCCACACAGTAACTGCAAAAGAACTGGAGACTTTATTTTGAAGTGGAGAATTATAATAAGTGACCTCATTGGGCAAGAAATTGTGCTGCCAAACCAAAGGCATGTGGTTCAAATCCAGGAGCTTCTCCATTGGAGACAGATGGGCAGTCAATCTCCTGTGGGATTTACTGCCTCTGCAAATTGACTGAAGGGTCAGCTATGCATATAACAACATGTATAACAACAATGCATATTTGCATATGCACATAAATACTCTATTTCTTGATACTTAACCATACTTATTTGCCACATTTTTCTAAATGCCATTTGGAATTGCGGCCATAGTTAATCTTTTATCTTCTTAGCCTAATGAAAGTTGTTAAGTTACTGTCTTGGCACTAGAATTGGTGGTAGAGGCATTCGTTTGTTTTGTTTCTTTTTCTCTCTGTTCTCATACTAGTTTGTTAGTGAGAGCTTGTGATTGTTATCATTTGGAGTGTTTGCAGCAAGGAATCACTAATGTCATTGGCATATCCTGTTTCTCAATTAGCCCGTTTCTCTTCCTCCAGGGACACAAGTGGCTCTAATTCCAGCAAACGCCACTGAAGCAGGTCGAAGGATTTAATATGAAGCACAGAAGCAGATAATTCCAGATAGTAAGCAGTAGTTGTGACACAGTTGTGAGTAACAATGGCTTTCTCTTTTTAACTCTTTGTCTTAAGCTACCTTCAGGCCAGCTCCTTAAACAGTCGTAAATTGAAAATTCACAAGATATTGATAACAAGCTAGAGGTCATGATCAGCCAGCTGTCAGGGTTTACAGCATTGAGCAAGCTCTCAAGATGCATTTAGCGTCTCTGTGGAGTTTAAAAGATGTACTACATCTTCTGGGGATTTTGAAGAAATGCCCCAACTTTGACTTCTGCTTACGCTGTCTTTAAAAGAAAGCTGCATTGTCACTGTTTTTTATATAAAATCTCACGGAAAATTGAGTGTAATTTTGTTTTCAGAGCTATTTTAAAAGAATTGTTACTTTCATATTAATAATTTGGACTGGCTCAAATAAATTCACTTTTACTCTTTAAATTCTCTTCATGATTTCTTTATAATTGCTTTGTTTAATTCTTTTTTAAAAAAGGAAAAGGGCTAGGTTTTTTCCCCTTCAAAATATAGTGAGTAGAGAAATAAAGGGTGACTTTTTTTTTAGCCTGATTTCACCTTTGTATATGCATGTGATACAGCTTTTCCTTATCCTGTTAGTAAAATGACAAGACAGTGATTATGCTTAAAACCATCTGATGGTCTCTGAAGAACCAACTAGGTCCGTAAGGAAAGAATTGAATATAGATTTCCGTTACCAAGCCCCATGCCATGTTCAAGGCCAAGAGTAATGTTATGTAACTGTTTTATTCATAGTTCTCTTATGAAAGGACTTGTTGAAATACTGATCTGTATTCTTTCTTTTTTACAGCTGGAAAAGCAGTGTCCGTGTGTTATGCACACCTCAGAGCTGTAGGGGAATTGTATAAAGTAAACTCAACTGCAGGGTGGCAGGATTCTGAAAGCTATTGTAGACGTGTGTTTACTGTATTAAAATGAGTAAAAGAGCACGCAGTGACACACCACTAGGAAGGTCAGTGCCCTTTGCTTCAGTTGAGCTGATATTTGAGGCCTGAGAGACGGCGGCTGGAGAGCTAATTGCCATGGGCTCCTCTTGCTCTGTTCCCTTTTTTTTTCCAGCACTGTGTCTTTGGGCACAGCCATCTTTCCACTGCATTTCCCCGGAGCATGGAGCCTTCTTTAATTTACAAGTCTTTACGCAATGCATTTGTACCGTCTTCCCCCTTGAAGGCATGTCATGCTTCATTGTCTTGTGTTTCTGTTGGCTTTTTTTTTAAATGTGTATTTAAATATGTTATTCAATATAAATGAATAATGTAAAGTCTTCAGGTGCTCGAAAGGTGAACATGCACGTGTAGGACTTCCTAAGGAAAGTTCTGTCTGTACATACCGGTCATCACAGATACATGTTCGATACGAGAAAGTTAGATTTCAAGAAGCTGCACCGCCATCCCAGAGGTGCGCGGTTCGAATCCACCAGATGCTCTGCTAGAGAAGAAAGGGCAATCTCCTGTATCAGTCAGATCCAATTTGATGATACACACACAAAATAATAAAATATATTTAAAAATAATTTTAAAAAGAGAGAAGGTTAGATTTGTATTTTAGAATTTTTTTTTCCCCAGGAGATTGCAACTCTTTAGTAAATTTAGAATTAACCTATTGACTTTATGGACTTGATTTTTATCAGTAAAAGGTTTTCATTTTCTTCTGCATGAGGACAGTTTTTCATTTCCTTTTTATCAAGTCCTGGCAGCTTTCCCGCAAATCATTGATGAAGAAGTGTTCATTTCTTCCATTGTATATGAAGCATTTTTGCATTTACAAGCAGCCTGCATGTTCACTTCTGCGCAGTGTATGTCTGTGTCTGTATACTTGTGTTTATAAAATAATTACTGAAATCTGCCCCTAAGCAATACATGCTGGAGGTGAAAATTCAACTGAGAAGAAGCCATTATTTTGAAGAACATGGTTTCTTCATATATCTTGCCTCTCCTTCATGTGTTTTCACAAACTTGCGAACGAGAAGTCTCCTTTCGCTCTTTAAAGAGAAGACATTGTCGTCTTCTTTCCCCCGAGGAGGAAGGCGGCCTTCTCACTCTCCTTCACCCGTGTCTTTCCGTTTTCACCCGCAGGGTGAGTGGGGCAGCGTTTCCTTCTCCCACTGCTTCTGAGATGGCGGAAATCAGCCGAATTCAGTATGAAATGGAATACACTGAAGGCATCAGTCAGCGAATGAGAGTCCCAGAAAAATTAAAAGTGGCGCCACCGAATGCCGACCTGGAACAAGGATTTCAGGAAGGAGCTCCGAATGCCAGTGTGATCATGCAGGTTCCGGAGAGGATTGTTGTTGCAGGTATTACCTGTTCACGTGTGTGCAGGTTGGCAGGTTGTGTGTTCTAAGTGGGGCACACCCACATGCACGTGTCCAACATGGATTAGAAAGTGAATATGTGGGGAGATTACAGAGTTTCCAAAGCCTGTACAGCTTGCATTGTTTCCATAGTAATACAGTGGGGGAAAGGGATCCAACAGAATGTGGATATTAAAGAATGTATCATTAATATCATATACAAGCAAAATATTTCTGAAGGTCATCCGAAATGGCTAGAACAGTACATTAACGGAGAACTGTGAGAAGTTCAACCTAGATTTAGAAGAAACCATGGTACCAGGAATATTGTAATTGGCAGCACCATAATAGATGGAGACGAGATTGAGGTTGTTGGCAATTACAGCTTCCTCAGGTCTACAATCAACACTCTTAATACCAGCAGTCAGGAAATCAAAAGACGAATAGCATTGGGAAAATCTGTCATGTACCTCTCCAGAGTGCTAAAGAGCAATGATGTCAGTCTAGATACAAAGGTGCACCTAATCCAGGCCATGATCTTCTCAATTACTTGTTATGCTTCAGAGAGTTGGACAATGACTAAGGATGACAGAAGAATAGATGCCTTCAAGTTGTGGTGCTGGAGAAGAGTCTTGAACATACCACAGATTGCCAAGAAAAGAAATAGGTCTGTCTTAGAGAGGGAGAAACCAAATCTCTCCTCGGAGGCTAAGATTTTGAAGCTTCATTTCACGTTCTTTGGGTGTGTGGCCAGGAGATCGGTCCTTGGAAAAGGGCATCATGCTTGGAAGGATGGGCGGACAGCGCAGGAGAGGAAGACTGAATGAGATGGATTGATACAGTGACGGGCAGTTAGGGGTTGGTGTGTCAGAATTAGTGAGACTGGCTCAGGACAGGGAAGGGTTCAGAGCTGCTGTACAGAGGGTCGCTACGCATCACAGGCGACTGACTGATTAACCAGTTACATTCTGTGACAGGTTTGGAAGCAGTAGTGGCATCTAATTCCTAAACAATATGACTCTGGAAACTTAGGAACTTTGATAAATATCTATAGTTTTAGAGGGGCTTCAGGCCTATACTGTTCATAGGGTCGCTGTGAGTTGTGCTCTACTCAAAGGCAACAACAACAATGTCAGTCAGTTGGATCCTAGCTGAAAACAGTGAACACCAGAAGAACGTCTATCTGTGTTTTAGGGACTATGCAAAGACATTTGACTGTTTGCATCGTAATAGAGTGTGACTAATATTGAAAAGAATAGGAATCCTAAAACACTTAATTATGCTTATATGAAATCTATATACCTAGACCAAGAAGCTGTTGTGTGAAAAGATAAATGGAATGCTGCATGGTTTAAAATCAAGAAAGATAATGTGTCAAAAGAATAAAGGTAGGTATGTGTCAGGGGCTATGTCCTTTTTCTATACATAGTCTGTATACATAGTCATACAAGAAAATGGACTTTATAAAGAAAAATATGGCATTAGGATCATAAGATTCATCAACAACCTGTGTTAACACAGATCACACACCTGGCTTAAAATGAGGAAAACTTGAAGTGCTTGCTGCAAAAGATCAAAGATTGCAGCCTTCAATATGGCTTACATCTCAACATTAAGAAAACTAAAGCCCTTACGTTTGAGCCATGAGGCGACATCATAACAGAAGGAGTAAAGATTGAAATTGTCAATGATTTCATCTTACTTGGATCCATAATCAGCGCCCTTAGTACCAGCAATCTAGAAATCAGACAATGTATAACAATGGGTAAATGCTGACAGGGACCTCTCCAAAAGATGTCTAAGAAGACTTAGTCTTAGAAGTCTTAGTCTTAGAAGACTAACGTGTGCCTGATTCAACCCATAGCCTTTTTGATTACTTGTTGTGCATCTGAAAGTTGGACAGTGACTAAGGATGATAGACGAAGAATCATTGCCTTTGAGTTATAGTGTTGGAGAAGGTACTGAGTTCCCTAGGGGACTGCCAAAAGAACAAATAAAGCTTGGAGAAAGTATGACAGAGTGCTCCTTGGAGGTAAGGATGGTGAAGCTTCATCTCACTGAGTTTGGGCATGTGTTAACAGGGGCCAGTCTTTGGAGAAGGCCATTGTGCTTGGAAGGGTGGAAGGTCAGTGGAGGAGAAGGCCCTCAACAAGATAGATTGACGTGGTAACTGTAACAATGGTCTCAGTGTATATTAGAGACAGGGAGGACAGAACAGGATGGTGCGGGGCTCTTATCTGTGGTTTGTGGGGTCACCAGAGTTGATTCAGTCACACACAACAACTTTTTGGTTAGGTTAGAAAACCAAAGGCAGAGAATGTCAATACTTTTTTTAATAAAACCATTATCTTCTTAAAACTCCCTTCTTAAATGTTATTTTATTCTCTCAGGAAACAATGAAGACATTCCGTTTTCAAGACCAGCAGACCTTGACCTTATCCAGTCGACTCCCTTTAAACCTCTGGCGCTCAAAACACCTCCCCGTGTTCTCACACTGAGTGAAAGGCCGCTAGATTTTCTGGATTTAGAAAGACCTGCTCCAACCCCTCAAAATGAAGAAGTAAGTAAAATTTCAACCTCAGCGCAATTTAAAATAATGTGGGGAAAAGCAAAAACTCTAGAAACAGTAAGAGCCTATAAGTTGTATCATTAGTAACTACATTGTTAACCTTACTCATGATACACTAATCATAGGAATTCAGATTTATAGTTAACCAATTAAAGTAGTATGCTGCTGCTGTTTTTTAATTTAAATACTGTTTCAGGAAAAGTTTAGTTTCATGGGAACACATTTTCACATTCAGGTGATCTTTAAAGCAAAGAATCTTTCATACATTTTAAAGACTGCAGAAGATCAAAGATTGCAGCCTTCAGTATGGATTACGTCTCAATGTCAAGAGAACTGAAACACTCAACACAGGGCCAATAGTCAACATTATGATAAATGTTTAGGAAGTTTAGCAGGAAGAGAAGTTACTTTGTTATAAAAGCAATATGGTGGTCAAAGTCAGGGAAGCTCTTTTTCCTCCCAAAACCCCATGGCTCTTGAATCAGTTCCAACTTACCATGACCCTCAACACTACCGTTTTTCTCTGCCTGCTGAAAGGTTGCTTCTAAGGAAGCTATTTGTGATGGATGGAGTAACCCCACCATGTTGTTAACGTGACATTGAGTTGCGTATGATTCTTACTGACCCTGTGAACAACAGATAGGAACCATCCTCTTCATCTCCGGCACAGTTGAGTCCATTTCTGCAGTCTCTGTGTCAGTACTTTGGGTTGAGGGTCTTCCTGTCTTTCTCCAACCCTCCACCTTTCCACGCATAATCTAAGAAGTAGCCTCCCCTGGCAACATGCACAGGGTACGTGAGACCAAGCTTTGTCATCTTTGCCTCCAAAGAGCATTCTGGCAGCACTTTGTCCAAGACATATTTGTTCTTTTGGCACTCCGTAGGATATTTAGTACTCTTCCAAATCGTAACTCAGAGGCATCAGTTCTTTACCCCTAAAACAGATGTGGCAAATCCTGATTTCTGTGCCCATGGTTATAATCCCCCTGGGGATGAGTTGTCTTTGATCTGTTAAGAAACAGACTTACAGGGGATATGGATTTTAGTCAGTCTCTTTTGAAATATACAAAAACTTAAATAAAATAAACAGATGAAAGAGCAGTGCCATGCTATGTGAAGATCACTCATGAGCAAAAGAGATGAAGACTTGCCCTCAAAGTTTCAGAAAAATCTTCCCCTCGAGCTGACAGCTTGAATTTGAGCTTCTGGGCTCCTAAACTGGAGGAAATGAAATGGCTAAAGCCCCCCTCACCCCTGGTGTTATTTATTACAGCATCGCTAAAGACCTAAGGCTGCTGTATAAATTAGGACTCTGCTTAACCTCTTTACAGCAACAGTTACACTCCAGTAGAGTGAACTCATAAGGAGTCTGTACAAAGTTCATTTCCAGCTCTACCATCATGTTAGGGCATCCTTGTGAAGCTGCTGCTCTCTCACTGACTTCTCTAGTTGCAATTTCATTATTAGAGCCTCTGAGTAATTGACATGAGGCTGGTAGTAGAGTTGTGTTTCTCTAACAAACGTCTACTGGGTGTTTCTTCTGTGTCTGTACCCACATGTATGTAGTAAAGACCCCTCTGCTAGTGCAGCAGGTTAAGGATTGGGCACTGAAAAGTCGATGGTTCAAAGCCACCGGCTGCTCCTCAGAAGAGAAGGAGTCAGCTTCTGTAAAGATTTATAGTCTCGCAAACTCTGGGCGGTTCTGCTCCGTTCTGTTAGGGACCCTGCGAGTCAGAATTGACTTAAAGGCCCTTTGTGATTGGAGAATAACCGGAACTTGTTTCTACCCTCAAAGAGCTTTGCTCCTTGTGTAGTTACAGGATAATAGTATGGGTGAAGGAAAGGTACCAGCAGACGCAGAAACTACAGAGTTAACAGCCAAGAGGGAGGGAGCGGGGCGAGCTGGGGAGAGAGTGGGCTCGGCACCTTTTATAGAAGGGGCTGAACGTTGCTGATCCTTTCAGGGGCCAGCTCCCCAGAACTGTGGGCTCCATAGCAGTCATTCTCCATCAGCCTCCACGCTCTTGACATCTGACCCGATAATTCTTGTTGTGAGGGACTGTGCTGTGTATTGCAGAATGCTTAGCAGCATTTCTTTTTTTTTTTTTTGCC